GCGACAACGATGCGCTCAACGAGCTTGTTTTCACCGCCGCTTCAGAAGGCATTATGGTGTTTGAAAGCGTCCATTATACACCGGACGTAATCACCGACTTGCTCATTGTCGACGTTAATCCAGCTGCCCTAAAAATCGCTGGGCGGACGCGCGAAGAGTTGGTCGGTAAACGTCTGTCTGCGGCATTCCCTGGCAATTTTCAGAACGGCCTGTTTGAGCGCTACAGGGCGGCGCTCGGTACCGGTAAAACAGAGAGTTTTGAGATCCATTACCCTTATGACGGGCTCGACAGCTGGTTCAAAGTTTCCGCCAGTCCTGTTAGCGCAACGATGTTGCTCATCACGTTCGTTGATATTTCCGACATCAAAAAGTCTGAGCACTTGCTAGCACGGCGCGAAGCCGAACTTCGCTTCATTCTCGATGCGATGCCCTCGCGCGTTTGGTACAAGGACGACGAAAACGGCATCATCCGGCTGAACAAATCGGCCGCGGACGNTAGATGGTGAGAAACCACTTCTGGGCATCGTGGAACGTTTTACGCCCAAAGACGGAGAGCAAGGCTGGCTCACAACCGATAAAATCCCATTTGCCGATCCTGAAACGAAAACCAGAAGGTTGCTTGTCGTGTCCACCGACATTTCGCGGCAAAAGATCGCTGAAGATGAACTACGCTTGGCCAATGAGAGCTTGTCTCACTTGGCGTCCATTGCTGGGCGCGACCTCCAGTCCCCGCTAAACCAAATCTCGGTGATGGCCGGACAGCTGNCGGCCGACTGAGGCAGTTGGCGACGCGCTTGCTGGAGTTCTCTAAGGCCGGTGCCGGTGAGGTTGCGTTCGAGCGTGTGGACTTGAACGCCGTTATCGCTGCGGCTTTGGCAGACAGCGGGGCAGGTTCAGCTGATCACGCATCCGTCACAGTTGCACTGGGCGACGCTGATCATGTGCTCGGGGACAGTGACCTGCTAACACAAGTGTTTGCCAATCTTTTCCAAAACGCTTTGCAATTTGGGGCCAAAGACCATCTGGAGCTGTCGGTTACAGCCCAGCTGGTCAAAGGGCTGACCACCATCCAGGTTAAGAACAGTGGGGCTAGCATCAAGCCTGAATTTGCCGAGCGTATTTTTGAGGTTATTAGCCTTCTGCCTCACACCTGCCCCGACCAAGGCGCGGGCATCGGGCTGACATTCTGCCGCAAAGTGGTCATCCGCCATGGCGGGTCGATATGTCTGGATCAAGACAATCCGTCGGGCACATGCTTCACGCTAACGCTGATCCCCGCTTTTGAAGCCGCACCGACTTCAGAACCCGCCGACCACCACCACCACNCGATTTGAGAGCCGATAGAATGAGCTCAGCAGCCTGTTCGCCGATCCGGCGCGAGTGCGGATCAATCGTTGTGATGCTCGGCACGCAGATATCGGCAATCTCGTAGGCGCCAAAGCCTGCAATGGCGATGTCTTCGGGCACACGTACACCGCGCCGCTGACACTCACTC